AAATATCTCAAAAATGAGACCTCAAATTAAAAAAATTCTCAGGAAGACCCCCCTCTAAAATGACTAGGAGAACACGCTGCTAAAATATTTTAACATATTTACGGAACACTCTGTATAAATAACAATTGTAAAGAAAATCAAACACAATTTAATTTATTCACTGGGGTACCATGGGGAGTATTCACTGGGGTACCATGATTTGTACGATAGTGTTTATTGAAATTTCCCTGTGTTGAAAAGCTTTTTTGACAAATACTGCAAACATTGGAAATAGACATAACTAATGATATAAAAGTTATTATTTGTACGTTATTACGACAGAACACTGATACTACTTCGACACATTCAAGTCAAAACGTGGTCAGACACATAGATAAAGACGAGTAAACAACCAGAGACATAAACCAAACCCATGATACAACATATAATAATGTAATACAATAACCATGCGGCGCGTCTCTCCTGCAACTGGTTTTTCAACTGGCGCTACTGCTGTTTTTATACTATGCCTGCCTGTGGAACAGCGGTGGGGGAAGAGTGGGGCGGATGGCTTAGACGCATGATACAATGAATACAAGGTAGGATATTAATCGGTCGAAAACTCGATTTTCGTGCGCACATGACGTCACTGGTTACCACTTTGGTGAAGTGAACAGCTGATCCCATTTAAAATGCATGTGACCTAGACAGATTTTCACTGGATTCAAAACGCAATAGTTCAAAAATGGAAAGTTATATGAGGATATTGTGTGGCAGCATTGTATAGCTCAATGCTTTGAAAATCGCGTTTGAGACCTGACTTGGGCTTATTGGGAAGAAAAATACTCTAAATAATTCTTTACAAAATGTCTGATTTTCATCGTTTTAGCGTGCTGTGTTGCAGTGTCATTTGAGAAATCGGGTTGAGCCAAACGAAATAATGGATTAATTGTATTACATTGCGTAGATTGTTTGCTACTTTTAAGTGTCGGTTCAGAAATATAAAAAATGCAGTGTGCAGTCATTTTATTTGTATTAAAATTTACATTTTATCCGCGGCACCACAAACCGCATATTCCGTCGTAAATAATAGGAAAGTAACATTGGGTCATTGTTGGGACTTCCGTCTCTTGAATCGTAATGACCTATTTCTGCTTTCAGCTAACGCTATACTTTATTAAACAACTAGCAACTGTGCTAACCTACAAAATAAATACATTTTTGTTACTTTTAATTTTCAAGTCAAATTCAAGTCTAAAATCTGCTGCCTTAAAGCATCTTGTAATTATAAGCAAGATTTATAAAAAAATAATTAAATGTGACAAAGACTAAATAAGCTATATTTAATCACATTTAGCAGGCAGGAAAAAAGCATGCCCGGCAGTGATTTCCACTGACGTCACGCAAATCGACGCAAGCTCCTACCTTGTATTCATTGTATCATGGTTGTCAACTAGGCCGCACGTTGAGGTTAGCACAGATTACAGAGTGTCTTATGGTCTTAACCTCTGTGATCTGTGGAGGTTAGATAGCACAACATAAATACTTGCTTTTATTTTTTGGATGAATTCCATTTCGCTGAAAAATTATGCTTAAACATCGGCGGTAAAGTGAGGGAAAATGGCGTCGTCACAGGACGCTTGGTATTTGTCCCTGCTGGGACTAGCGGAGTACTTTAGAGCTTCGAGCCCCCCACAGATCAAGCTGTGCATTCAATGCCTGCAGGCCGTTTTCAACTTCAAGCCCCCGCAACGGGTGGAGGCCCGCACCCACTTGCAGTTGGGCAACATCTTACTGAGCCATACCAAGAACATTGACCTGGCCAAGAACCATTTGGAACAGGCTGTAAGTACAGCCAGGCCTGTTCAAACAGCTGTCGTTGACAATGATTTTTCCTGCTAGTGGATGCTGTCGCAGCCAATCTCCACGTTCGACGACGTGAAGTTCGAGGCAGCGAGCATTTTAGCTGAATTAGAGCAGCAGAACCAGATATCCGCGGCCAAACCCATTCTGCGGAAGGCCATCGAGCTGAGCCAGCACAATGTCTACTGGCATTGTAGACTCATTTTCCAGCTGGCTGTAAGTAGATTCCATGCCACGCTACTCATTAACTGAACAACTCTTGCTGCAGCAAATCCACGCCATAGAAAAGGACTACGCACTGGCCAGCAGCCTCTTAGGGGTCGGAGTCGACTATGCCCACATTTCCAACGCCCACTACACCCGGATATTGTTTCTGCTAAGCAAAGGAATGGTAAGCACCTCCCAACAAAACAGTTTCAGCGCCTTAACGGCGATTTTCAGCTGTTGTTGATCGACAAAAAGCTCCCCGAAGTGCACACAGTGATCAGCCAGGCCGGCCATTTGATTGAAACCTGGACGGGAGGCGCCTATCAGAGGGAGTACGTTAAAGTGTGCTTTTTGGTCCTTCAGGTGGGTGCCACTTCACGAGACAATCGGAGTCTGATTGATCTCTTTCTAGGTGTGCCACTATCTTATGGGCGGCCAAATTAAGGCTGTTAAGCCCTGTTTAAAGCAGCTGCAGCAAAGCATCCAGGTTTTGGTGCAAGTAGACGATGGTAACTAAAGCAGCTGGAAAAAACAAACAACTTACCTTTCTGTGTTTTTTGCAGTGATCACCGGCCCTAGTCAAGGCGACATGTTCCTGTGGTTACCCAAAGAGCATCTTTACATCCTTGTATACCTGCTCACTGTTATGCACAGCATGCAGGCAGGTTACATGGAAAAGGCACAAAAATACACAGACAAAGCGTGTGTGTACATCGAAAAGCTGAAGAGTAAGCCAAGACAATCGCCCGAAAAAAACTCTTCGAACGTAGACTTTGCAGTTCTAGACAACAAGCCCATTTTATCGGTGTTCCAACTGATGCTCTTGGAACACATCATCATGTGCAACCTGGTCATGGGGAACAAAACCCAAGCGTTGCAAGAAATCTCTTCCGCTACAGCGCTGTGCAAGAAAAGCCCGCGGTTGCTGGAAGCGCATGGAGCTCAGCTACACACGCTGCTCGGACTGTACTCGATGAGCATGGACTGTCTTCCGGCCGCTGAGGCACAATTTCTCGCTGCTTTGAACGTTCGTGAACTGACCCCAAACGGGGCGACACCCTGCTGATTTGCTCGGCTGTTTCAGACTTCACAAGAGAGAGAATTATGGACTTTTGCCAACTTGAATCTGGCGATCGTGTACTTGCGAGGGAAACGCGACAACGACTTCAATTCTTTGTTCGACCGCATCAACCCGGAGAATCTGCCCTCGCAAACGCACAGCTTGAAAGCGGCGGCCTACTATGTGCATGGCTTGCAGGCTTTTTTCCAGGCCCGATACAACGAGGCCAAGTAAGCCGGTAGCTTCATCCTGCGGTCCATTTAGTTGAAGATTCTCTTTTTTTTAGGCGCTACTTGCGGGAAACGCTAAAAATGGCCAATGCGGAAGACCTGAACAGGCTGACATCCGGGTCTCTGGTACTGCTGGGGCATATTTTCCTATCTTTAGGCAATAGCCGAGAAAGCATGAATATGGTCACTCCAGCAATGCAACTGGCCAGCAAGATTCCCGATGTTCACGTGCAGCTTTGGGCTTCAGCCGTTCTCAAAGGTTGGCAGCAAACACGTTAGAAAGACACAAAAGCTTAGAAACCTCGATTTTCAGATTTGCATCGCATTTGCGGAGACACGGCCCGAGAAAACGAGGCCTATCAGAGACATGTGAGTTATTCGCAAACGTTGCGCAATGACCAGCACAACGCCTCCAAATTGCCTCAACATTGTCTGATCTACTGGACAAAGGGCGATATTCCGATTTAACCATGGACGCACTGTCTAGTTTTTTTTGTGCCAGCACATCTACTTCGTTGAAGTTTTTGTATCAACTCCGTTATTTTATTAAGCGACTTTTGTAGTTTTCAAAGCTTTTTATTTCCCTTATCAGTTTGCAATTGAACATGCCGCATAAAAAACCAAACCGATAAAGTAATTTATTATATTTTCGCTCGATACAAACGAAAACGACATAGTAAAAACAACGGGAAAGAAATGCTGTACAGCTTGCATTTGAACAGGAATTGTTATTCATTGTCTAAAAAATTCATCTTACGCTATATAGTCTCTTATCGATAATGGATAGTACAATAATATTTGCATGTTCTTACCTAGATTTATTCGGCCAAGATCAGGCTCGCGCTGCAACACCTTTAGCTAAAAACCCATTGACAATGACAAATAAATTAACCGGAGAAGTTGGCGAGGAAATCTTGCACGACTTTCTTCAATTCGGCGTCGGTAGAATCGGTGATTTTACCCTCCTTTGCAATGCTCTGGAGGATGCTCTGATGGCTACTCCTGTAACAAAACAAACGTTGAAAACTATTCCTGCAAAAACTCGTTATTGAGCCGCACAACTTACTTGATGTGTTCGGAGAATTGCTTCTCAAAGACGGTGATCTTTGAGGGGTCGACTTTGTCCAAATGTCCGCGGACACCGCAGTAGATGATAGCGACTTGTTCCTCAATGGCCATGGGCACGTACTGGCCCTGTTTGAGCAATTCGGTCAATCGTACACCACGGTTCAGCAGCTGTTGAGTTGCGGCATCCAAGTCGGAACCGAACTGGGCAAAGGCGGCGACCTCACGGTACTGAGCCAATTCCAGCTTCATGGAACCAGCCACCTGAAACAGCGATTGCAGTGAAAACCCGCCCATCATGAGCGTTGAACTGGCTTCGTACCTGCTTCATGGCCTTGGTTTGGGCAGCGGATCCGACACGGGATACAGACAGACCGACGTTGATGGCAGGTCGGATACCTTTGTAGAACAGCTCAGTTTCCAAGAAGATTTGGCCGTCGGTAATGGAGATTACGTTGGTGGGAATGTAGGCGGATACGTCACCGGCTTGGGTCTCAATGACTGGAAGGGCGGTCAAGGAGCCGCCTCCATGGGCCTCGGACATCTTGGCTGCACGCTCCAATAGACGCGAGTGGAGGTAGAATACGTCTCCTGGGTAGGCTTCACGACCTGGAGGACGACGCAGCAACAGGGACATCTGGTAGTTGTAAATGAATCAATCAGCTGACAATTGCCTCTCATTCGCGCACTCACTTGACGATAGGCGACAGCCTGTTTGGACAAATCGTCGTAGATGATCAGGGCATGTTTGCCGTTGTCTCTGAAGTATTCACCCATGGCGCAACCTGAGTAGGGCGCCAGATATTGCAAGGGGGCGGCATCAGAAGCGGTAGCCGACACAATAATCGTATAGTTAATGGCTCCGGTGTCGGTCAAACGCTTCAACAACTGAGCGACTGTGGATCTCTTCTGGCCAATAGCCACGTAGATGCAGTAGAGCTTCTTCTTCTCATCATCGGCGTCATTGAAGCGCTTCTGGTTGATGATGGTGTCGATGGCCAAGGCGGTTTTGCTGCAAACACACCATCAATCGCCATTCAGTAGACTCACAGAAAGTGGGCACATACCCAGTTTGACGATCTCCAATGATCAGCTCTCGCTGTCCTCTGCCGATGGGCACCAGCGAGTCGACGGCCTTAATTCCGGTCTGCATTGGTTCTCTTACAGAAATACGGGGAATGATGCCAGGGGCCTTAATTCCTACACGGAATCGTTGCTTGGTTGCGACCGGGCCTTTGCCATCGATGGCATTTCCCAAAGCGTCTACCACACGACCCAAAAGGGCGTCGCCTACAGGCACGTCCACAATGGCTCCGGTTCTTTTTACAATGTCTCCTTCCTTGATCAGCTTGTCGTTACCGAATACGACAACACCGACGTTGTCTGGTTCCAAGTTAAGGGCCATACCCTGAAAAAAAAAACAAGGTAGTAACCCAGAACTGATAATTTTTGCGTTGTTAAAACGGCGCCGATTTTACATCATTCTTTAAATCGCCTGTTTTTTTACCTTTAATCCAGACGAAAATTCCACCATCTCATCGGCCTGGATGTTGTTCAAGCCATAGACACGAGCGATACCGTCACCAATGCTCAGGACACGGCCCGTTTCGTCCAAGTCAGCTTTTGGGGCTGAGCCCAAAATGCGCTCCTCCAATTGGTCCAACTCCAAAAAGAGATTTCCACCCCATTCTGAACGGGGCTGGCGTGGAATTTGCGGGCTGCCACTGAAGCCGCTGGAAAAGCCGCCCCTGTAAGCTAAAACACCCCAAATTCACTCACTGGAAGACCTATTGGTTATCTATATCCTAATCTAGAGCAGTCAAGGGGCGATTCTCAGGTTAGGGTTTCTGGCCTGACTTTTCAGTCAAAGAAGGGGGTTAATTAACTGCAGCCGAAAACCCCTCGAAACACTTCATTCCGACTGCTAGCTGGGGATCGGGCACAACTTTAGCGCTGCTGAAACCAATTTTAGATCCATCAGCCCCCCGATTACATAACACATAGTTATGGGATCTTCGGCAGTTAATGAGCTTCTCAACCCCGATCTCATTAGAGTGTTTCGAGTTGGCACCACTAGAGTTAACGGAATGGCCCCTTTACCGCCCTGGAAAAGCCTCAAAATCCTGGAACATGATCGGTTATGTCACACATTCGGCAAAGTTCAAGTTCGGAACGGGCGAAAATCCGAGATTCAAACACAAATTACTTGCACAAAAACACTGTGGATACCTGAGTTAGGCTCTTGGGGATACTTCGGGCTACCGAGGCAGCCAAACGTGCGGAAAGTAGAGACATTTTTCAGCTTATCGGCCCAACACTCACAAAAGCAGCAGGATGGTGGACGGTCAGGACTTTAGAGTTGGGGATTGGTGTGACCATAGAGTAAGTAATTTTACTTTCTCTATGGGTGTGACGTCAAATCAGCAATGACCTGCTGCGCACCTACGGATGTATCAGGCGACATCTACCGCAGAGCAGACATTAATATAACACACAACAGAACATCCCCCCTGTCCACAGAACATCCCGACGATG